AAAGGCACTACAGACGAAGTTAATATAACACAGCTTATATGGTTTGCTTGTTTCTTTTACTGTGGGTTGTGTGTATCGATCACATGCACGATCCACAGTATTGACCGGTAGCATTTATTAGCTGGGGAATATATTCAGGATTCCGGTTTGTTACTAGACGTGTTTGTAGACTGTCATGTATCCGAACACCGGGGTAAGAATAAAACATAGGAATAAATCTATACCTAATCTTTAAAACAAATCTCACCTCATGAACCCAAGAGGTATGTTGTATTTAGCATCAAAGCAAATACAAATTACTAACGCCAATGGTAAAAATTCATGAAGCGGATTAAAATTCATGAATATTTCATCAGTAAGGTATTACAATACCTGCTCTGTCGACCTCTGTCGACTGTTGTATAACGATGTCAGCTGATGGTAGCATGTGGCATCTCACCCAGCGGGATCATTAATGGGTTTATACTGTGTGTAATGGTTCATAGATTTATTGGTGGCAATGTCACAGCTGAATTGCGTGAATTGATATATTATAAACGTGTTTTATGCGTGACCAGATGTAAATCCTGTACCAGGGTGGCCCCTTATCATATTATGTTCATGATCAACTTGGAATGTCAGTGAAGTATATACCTTGAAGTTGTGACGTATTGGTCGTGCAAGTCGCTGAAAGGGGACAGTAGTGACCACTTGAAAATGCTAACTCTATACTTTTGAAGGTAACCATCCAGCGACCATGTCATCGGATATGGAACTTGTGAAATGTATCATATGACTGACTGACTGAATTTTGGTTTTACGCCGCTTTTAGCAATATTCCAGCAACATCACGGCGGGGAACACCAGAAATGGGCTTCACAAATTGTACCCATGTGGGGATTCGAACCCGGGTCTTCGGCGTGACGTGCCAACGCTTTAACCACTGGGCTACCCCACCGCCCTGTATCATTTGATGTCTATTTCAGTTGTTTTTTGTTTTATATGCATTCAAACTGAGATTCCAATAATGTATTTAAACCACGTGTAATTCCTGTCTTCCAGCGTTATAGTATGACTTAATGTCTATATCATTAAAAAGGTCGTTAAAACGGTTTGCTCAGAATATGTGTGCAAAAATAATGTTAATGATTATCTATTATTGATTAACCATCCGATCCTAAAAGCAGAATTATGTAAACATTAAAAACCCAAGAAGATTTAATTTTATTACTCTTTTCGATCTCTCAACAAAGATAGTGGCGCAATATGCGTAAGCTATCTCATGCTTTAATATGGCCTTACACGGAAACGTTCTGCAAACACGCCAGTATAAATTACGACACTGTCAATGTATTAGATGAACACAGGAAGCAATAGGTTGATTTGAACGTTATTACTAGAAATAAACCCCTTTCAAACCAATTCAAGAAAAGAAACAATACAACACGGTGTTTATTTTGTAAATCAGTAGTTTGAATATTGACTTGAATGTATGGCACAACATGTTGGGTAACTTTAGAAAGTCAGATAGGTCTAATTTAAAGTCAGGCTACATACAGTATACACTGAATGTGGTTGAGCTCCGAGGAGAAACTGTTGATATACATGGTAATAGTTTGTGAATGGGCGCTGGGCACACATCAAAACTACGTTGACCCAAAGATAATTTTACTGATTCCATGGCAGATGTGTATTCAGCAAGAAAAACCAATAGACGATCTGCTGAGGGAATATTTCATAAATAATGTATACATTTTGTCATCAGATTGATGAATGTGTTATCATTGACCCAGTTGTACCATGTCACTGTATAAGCCTTGCTAAAAGAAATATACAACTGGTCGTTTGTTCTAAGCCGTGTTTATTGCAGGGTGTTCTAGATAACAAGGCCTGATGATTGAGTGTCAGTTGAACCATACTTGTATCAGTCACAGCGAGCATTGTATAGACGTTTACTATAGAACAGTCCTCTTAAACACTCTAGTATGATTAGAAATTATGACTGTGGGTGTCGTTCGTTGCTGGGCGATCCCACAGTTCGTACTCGTTCTATCATCAGAACGCTTATGTTTCTACGACGGGAATACTTGTAGCTTGTTGGTGGAGTATGTGCTCGAAGGATTTCATTCACTTGCAGGATACTTATCAATATAGAGTTATATCTTATTACACATATTTTAGTTACACACTTATAATATTTAGGTAACGATTTTATGTGTATGTGATTAAACTGAAACGCGATATGTAAATAATTACATTATATTTGTGTCGAAATTATGTTTGTTTGTTTGATTGTTTGTTTGCTAATCGCCAAACACCGCAATATATATCATGGCGGCATGTGTGTAACTTTGAACGGGACATGCCAGTGGCAGGTATTGGGATGACCTTGCAACAAAACCACCCCACACACCCACACGCACGCACGCGCGCTAGCAATTTTGTGACGGTTCGAAATTAATGCTTTTAAAACGGCTTAATTTTACCTTGTACCCACTGCCGTCAACTACATATGTAAGCGTGTATGTTACCAAACTACATGGGCCCCAGTATATGTCCCTTACACGGTTGTTTTAATACAACACACTCGATAGGTCGTATTGATACCACAAGTTAATTTCACCTGCAATATCAAAAGCAATAAAACCCTTGTTATAGATAACGAAAGTCCACCCTTGTAGGAGGAACAGCTTAAGCCGATGCCTCTGTTTGGGAATACAAGCGCCACGTACATGTCCCACAGCTTTATTAACACCGATCACGTCTCCCGGGGGTACGGTAGTCAGTCCCTAAACCCATACCTTTATAATTGTCCAGTATTGCTCAGTTTCCATACAATACTCTTCAAAATAGCCATGTCTATTTATCGCTGAAAAATGACCAAGATTTGGACATTGCCGAGAATGGTACGAAGCCCTCCGTGAATGCAAGCTCTGAACCGTAACACGATCAATTGTGTAGGAAACCCGCCGCAATATATTCTTCTTGTGTCGTTCAGCTTGTTTCGGACCGATATCTAGGATTTCATTTCGTGTGTTATTACTGAGACTTATTTAGTTCATGTCTGGAGTGTTTTCTTACACCCTTTGTCGGGTAAGTCTAGCTTATGAGATTTCTGTCGACCTGTAAGCTTTTGAAGTAAAACGACCTGTTTACTGTTATTCGTGCCATGGTGCGTGGAGAGCGGGGTGGTTTGCTGTAATACATTGTCAGCTTGACATGCTGTGACTGACATCAACATGTGCAATGTACAATGTGAAACTGACAACTCGTATTTCTCCTAATCTGATCATACAATTCCTAGTGATCATGTTGATTAAACCTTTAAAAAATCCATCCGTGTTAGAATTGGTCTTGGCAACCTATGCTTGCCGTAAGAGGTGAATAACGGGATCGGGTGGTCAGGCTCGCTGTCTTGGGTGATGCATGTCATCGTATTCCAATTGCGTAGATCGATGTTCATGCTGTTGATCACTGGATTGTCTGGTCCAGACTCGACTATTTACAGACCGCCGCCATATAGCTGGAGTATTGCGGCGTTAAACTACAAACAAACATCCAATATGTCCACCTCTGATATTGACAACACATGCCAACAACGACACTGCCAGAATAACATTGGTCCCATCAACCCATCACAAAGACACTATTTGTCAACGTCTTGTCAAGCTATAAATTGGGTCTTTTATGATAACCATTTAATATTTCACATATGATTTTCAGTTCATACAATTACTTACAAAGGTCAAATGCAACATTGTTGATGTAACTAATAAGTGACATTTAGAGTATGACAATGCTCGACCTCACGTTGCACGTGTTTGACAGGACTTCCTCCAGCAAAACAATGTGTTCCCTTGGCCTTCTCGATCACCCGATTTGTCCACCATTGAACATCTATGGGATACTCTTGATCGACGCTTGCGCCAGTGTAGTTTCTTCTTTTTGTAAGAGTATACTTCAGATTAGTAGGGTAAGACTGCTTGGTGACCTAAAGCTATTTTTCTATCATCTATCACCCAAGTGCATGTTGCCATGAAAATTCTCTCGTCAGGTAATTCCAAGCCTATCGATTCCGATGAAGTATTCAATAAATTGCCTCTGTAGTGAAAGCCGTAACATTATCGTTATTATTTATGATATTTGTCCCTTTTGGTATTGATTTTCAATAATGCTTCGAGCCTGAAAGTATTGGAGAGAGCGAGAGCGAGAGAGAGAGAGAGAGAGAGAGAGAGAGAGAGAGAGAGAGAGAGAGAGAGAGAGAGAGAGAGAGAGAGAGAGAGAGAGAGAGAGAGATTATGTCGTGATGTTGGTGTTGTCAGCACCAACGTGTTGAACGTCGAAGACCGAGTTGCCTTTGGGTTTTCTCCACTCACTCACTCCACGCCAAACTGTTAGATCGTGTTGTAACCGAAAAACTGCCCCAAACGGCGTCCGACGCGTTCACTCGTCACATTTCACACGGACGCTGAATCGTTTAAACTTATATTTAAGCATAATATTCCATTGTCAACAATTACGGTTTTGGCACAATGCCCAACTCGGCGATGAAACTGAAGCGGGTTTGTACAATCACCCAACTTGACAACGTTCTTCAGGTGGCGTATTTGTCATCGAAGGGAGGTAATAAAGCCTTCTAATTACCTGCCAACCGCTAATCGGTGCCCAATCTACTGACTGGGACTGTTCTTCGCCCCTCTTGAAGACAAGTGCCTGTACACTGCCGTTGACATAGACTTGACGCACCGCATGGCACAACCAATCACTGTTGTCTTGCTGTATAGACATGCCATTGTTGCTATACTATCTGTCTTAAGGGATTTGATATTACATTGAATACATACTTAGAATGTTCCTATGTAAGATACGCGCCGTGTTTTGTGTATATAGCCAGTATTATGGTCGGTGGACAATCACTATGAGGCTTTAAGTCCACGAGTATTAGAGGTATTTTAGTAAAAAAGACAACTTTTTCATGTATGACCGCTCTCGTTTTGTGTGTAATTTCAGTTAAAGCTGCGAGAAAGGACAGTGGATATGTGAGTCATCCATCATGGAGGGGCTTACCTTCGCCCCAGTCCTGGTTCGAACCCGGGTGTCTGAACAGATGTGGTTCAAGTCACACCATCCTCGAGATTGTGGATAGTCATTCTCAGACCGGAGCCGTTGGATAAACAGCAGCAATAGTTGTGTTGTTTTGTGAACGAAGCAATGTGAACCTGGATTTATCTATATATAAGTGTGTATTTGATTCAATATATACCGATAGCACCGTTATATTGAATTCGGATGTGTCCAAGCTCCGGTTGAGCCAAACCCCAACTCCAGTCCCGGCACTCTCTCACAATAGTTATCACTGTTTTAAAGCGCATGAGTCGAAGTGGATGTGTCAAATTCTCGGCTGTCACGAACTCAAAGTGCCAAGAGATAAGAGGAGCTATAACTTACTCGGGATTGGAAATATGTTTTTTAACCAGTAAATCAGCCATGACGGCCTAATCCAGCTCTGAAAATGGACTTCAATAGTACTGACTTCCCAACCCTCCGAGGGCAGTATTCGTCCCATCTATACCCAGTCCTCACTGTGTTCACAGTGGTGGGGGTACTGTTAAACTTAGCGTCGGTACTGGTGAAGGTCCTGCTGAAGTTTGCCATGCCTCACACCTGGAAGCTGTCCTGTCTTCTACTGGACGTGTCTCACTTCACTCTGGGGCTGGGTCTAGCTCTGCTGCTCTGTTACATCAGATTCCAGGCAGAGAGTTTATGTAAAGCAGCGGGTTTCTTCCTCATGGTCGGCGTCCTTGACTGCGTGTGCATCTACCTCATATCCAACGTCATCATCCTGTTTGTGCAATACCCAGAAAAACTGTCGGGGTATTCCCATTACCAAAAATGGACTGTTCCGGCTATGTTGGTTCCGGAGAAGGTTTTCACTGTCCTCCTCGCTGTCTTCCCCTTCCTCCCCATCAGCTACTTTAACGACAACGACGACCCGTACGTGATCACCTGTCTCCCCGTACGAGAGACTGGCGCCAAGGGAGCGGGGTATGGTGCGGCTCTGATGTTCATCTCATGGATCGTCCTTGGCATTGCCGTCATCGTGTGTATGGTGACTACATTCAGATTGTGGAAGAGCTCCGGAGGGAGGATCCACGCCTCATCTCCGAACATTTGGCAGATGATGATGCTGAGTCAGGGCAAGACGTATCAGAGGTTTGACTTCTTTGTTTTTCTTTTCAGTTGTTCGTGGTATTTTTGCTTTGTTTCTTGTTCTTGCCGGTTTATCAGCTCTACAAAAACATTTTTCCCAAAATATTGGAGTGCTGGTGAGATGCTTCATATTTTATGGACTTCCAACGTGTTCGACACCTCAGGTCTACTAAAAGTTTCATACTTCAAACAGCTTTTAAGTTTAAGTCTTTTGGTTCCCAATCCCTTGCCTATTCTGTTCCAAGATAACGGAACTCTTTGCTGCTAACATGAAACCTATCTCTTACGTAAAGTGTGATGCACACCTCCAATATATAGCTGTATCTCCGAGAAAATGGATGTTTCCGACTGAAATGTAAATTACTACCACTGTTATTACCTTTACTACTACAGCTGCTGCTGCTGCTACTACTACTACTACTACTACTACTACTACTACTACTACTACTACTACTACTACTAGTACTACTACTACTACTACTACTACCACTACTACCACTACTACTACCACTACCACTACTACTACTACTACTACTACTGCTACTACTACTACTACTACTACTACTACTACTACTACTACTACTACTACTACTACTACCAAACGCCGCACTCAGTATTATTTCAGCAATATGACTGCGATCTGTAAATAATCGAGTCAGGACCAGATAATCCAATGACTGACGACATTGGCATCAATCTGCGAAAATGGGATATGTGAGCCAAATCAGTTAGCCTGATCAGCTGATCCTGTTAATCGCACGTGTTTCTGAATATCAATTCTAACATGGATCTTCACGGGCCACTAAGTTACTACTAATGTGAAATTCACAACTACCAGTATTACTGTTACTGTTACTACTGCTGCTGCTGCTACTACTACTACGACGACGACGACGATGACATGTTAGCCGTGAAATGACCAAGTTCACCTCCTTATCTCCAAGGTTCCTCCTCCTGGAGCAGCTGGTGTGGATGGTGGTGTTGTTCATGACGACGGTCATCATCTACACCAACACCTCACGACTGCTGGTGCCCCAGTGGATCGCCGTCGTCGCCCTCAGTGTCAGCACTTTCTTCCACGCCGTCCTCAGCAACATCGTCACCATCCTCTGGAGCACTCTGTGCTGCAGAACAAAGCAACAGACCAAAGAACCTTATCAGAAGCTGAAGAAACTGGAACTGTTGAAAATAGAGGTAATGATTCAGTTCGCTTACCTTGCAAGCAATTTTGATAATTTAATTTTTCCTACAGACTTTTAATCGAAAGCATTTGCTATGAGCAGTCTACAAGTAGAAGTTTAGTCACAATGTAGCAAGTCGACCCCGCAGTATGACTGTCATTGTCCGTACAGAGATTTTAGTTAATCTATGGGGATGTTTCAACCTGACATTACATTGTGTAATTTCGAACTAAGACGAGTCAACTCGTTTTATGCCATTACGTAGCTTTGAATCAGGTTATGTTATACCCCAGAAGATCAAGCTGCTCAATCAACGGGTGAGCTTCCAAAATGGCATGCCTTTTCAACAAAACCTCTGAGATGATGATGATGATTTCAAACGATGGACTAATTTTCATGATCACAAACAATACACCGCGTTAGGTTTTCACCCTTGCAGCAATCTTACGGCAAAAGAAATTATACACTTGAAAGTTGGATTTGACCATACATACTTTATCAAACCATAACTTGGTTGCAAACAGTCACCGAAACAGTAGCAATCTTAAAATTAGAAACAAAAGAATGATAACCTTTCTTATATAACTGTCTAGTTATATGAAATATCAGCATGATGCATGAGGTGATCCATATTTCTTTCAATATTCCATCCAGGCCCCCGGTAAGTTGCGCATGAAGGCTACCTGGTCTGTGGGTAAGGGCGTGTACAGGCGTGGTATGCTGAAGGTGTACGGAGTGGACCACCTGAAGGCGTGGGCCCAAGAGATCGTCATCCTGGGGATGATGAGGAAGACGCAGAGCGCCAGCCTGCTACAGTGTCTGTGGACCAATAGCGGCAACCCCTACTTCGAGACGATGACCCTCATCACCGGGGAGATCATACCTGGCGAGTCAAGGTAGGTTGGGTTGGTGGTGATCATCAGATAGATCAAACCTGGTGAGTCAAGGTAGGTTGGGTTGGTGGTGGTGATCATCAGATAGATCATACCTGGCGAGTCAAGGTAGGTTGGGTTGGTGGTGATCATCAGATAGATCATACCTGGCGAGTCAAGGTAGGTTGGGTTGGTGGTGGTGATCATCAGATAGATCATACCTGGCGAGTCAAGGTAGGTTGGGTGGTGGTGGTGATCATCAGATAGATCATACCTGGCGAGTCAAGGTAGGCTGGGTTGGTGGTGGTGATCATCAGATAGATCATACCTGGCGAGTCAAGGTAGGTTGGGTTGGTGGTGGTGATCATCAGATAGATCATACCTGGCGAGTCAAGGTAGGTTGGGTTGGTAGATGATCATCAGATAGATCATACCTGGCGAGTAAAGGTAGGTTGGGTTGGTGGTGGTGATCATCAGATAGATCATACCTGGCGAGTAAAGGTAGGTTGGGTTGGTAGTGTGATCATCAGATAGATCATACCTGGCGAGTAAAGGTAGGTTGGGTTGGTGGTGGTGATCATCAGATAGATCATACCTGGCGAGTCAAAGGTAGGTGGGGTTGGTGGTGGTGATCATCAGATAGATCATACCTGGCTGGGTTGGTGAGTCAAAGGTAGGTTGGGTTGGTGGTGGTGATCATCAGATAGACCATACCTGGAGAGTCAAGGTAGGTTGGGTTTGGTGGTGGTGATCATCAGATAGATCATACCTGGCGAGTAAAGGTAGGTTGGGTTGGTGGTGGTGATCATCAGATAGATCATACCTGGCGAGTAAAGGTAGGTTGGGTTGGTGGTGGTGATCATCAGATAGATCATACCTGAGCGAGTAAAGGTAGGATCATCAGATAGATCATACCTGGCGAGTAAAGGTTGGTTGGTAGTGTGATCATCAGATAGTTAATCATACCTGGAGAGTCAAGGTAGGTTGGAGTTGTAGGTTGGTTGGTAGTGTGATCATCAGATAGATACCATACCTGGCGAGTAAAGGTAGGTTGGGTTGGTGGTGGTGATCATCAGATAGATCATACCTGGCGAGTAAAGGTAGGTTGGGTTGGTGGTGGTGATCATCAGTGATCATCAGATATCAGATAGATCATACCTGGAGAGTCAAGGTAGGTTGGGTTGGTGGTGGTGATCATCAGATAGATCATACCTGGAGAGTCAAGGTAGGTTGGGTTGGTGGTGGTGATCATCAGATAGACCATACCTGGAGAGTCAAGGTAGGTTGGGTTTGGTGGTGGTGATCATCAGATAGATCATACCTGGAGAGTCAAGGTAGGTTGGGTTGGTGGTGGTGATCATCAGTAATAGGTTGGGTTGGTGGTGGTGATCATACCTGGTAAAGGTAGGTTGGGTTGGTGGTCGTGTCAAGGATCATAGGTAAAGGTAGGTTTGGTGGTGATCATCAGATAGATCATACCTGGCGAGTAAAAGGTAGGTTGGGTTGGTGGTGGTGATCATCAGATAGATCATACCTGTGATCATCAAAGGATCATACCTGGCGAGTAAAGGTAGGTTGGGTTGGTAGTGTGATCATCAGATAGATCATACCTGGCGAGTAAAGGTAGGTTGGGTTGGTAGGGTGATCATCAGATAGATCATACCTGGCGAGTAAAGGTAGGTTGGGTTGGTGGTGGTGATCATCAGATAGATCATACCTGGAGAGTCAAGGTAGGTGGGGTCGGTGGTGGAGATCATCAGATAAACCATCATGGAGTATCAAGCAGCATTGCCTCAGATGCCCGGGTTAAAAGTTCTGGAGCTTGTGCCTATTTTCTATGTCTAGATTTTTCATTCAGCGACTGAAATTTGTAATCATAACCGTGTTTGGATAATCATAAGGTTTGAATTAACAGACAAACATGAATCAAAGTGATATTACTGCCAGTTGATCCAAGTATAGGCCTTCAACTAACGAACTGAAGTAACTGAAGGCCACATGGCTGAAGTGATATCATCTTTCGTCTTGGGGACGTTAGTGGTCTGGTAATATGCTTATTGTGGGTTTCAGTGATGGGCAATGACACAGGGTGCGTGCCCTCTCTGTTTAAGTTCTTAGTATGTCCTCAAAGTGTGTGTGTGTGTGTGTGTGTGTGTGTGTGTGTGTGTGTGTGTGTGTGTGTGTGTGTGTGTGTGTGTGTGTGTGTGTGTGTGTGTGTGTGTGTGTGTGTGTGTGTGTGTGTGTGTGTGTGTGTGTGTGTGTGTGTGTGTGTGTGTGTGTTAGAACCATCACTCGTTCAAATCTGTACCCTTCAACACAGATTGGGTTTTTAACATATTGCTCTATTTCTGAACGTACTATTGTACGGCGGTTGACGATGGTGCATGATCGGTACATGACTAAGAATAGTAAGACTGACTAGAGAACAATAAAATGCCAAATCTTATCTCAAGCTGTCAACACGACCTGTAAACAATGACATTTCATAAGCTTAGATTTCTTTGTGCACAAACACGATACCAAAATCTACAAGACATGTCATAGTTTGTCTACTGTCTCATTCTCTCTGTCTCGCTGCTTCAGTCAGTATCTACACTCTGATCTGATCGGGCTGATAATGTCGCCCGCCGCAGTGAAAGGGTTATTGTGATGCGAGTGATCTTTGTTGGATATATGTTCAGTAATCACCAGCTCTATGGCCGTTTGGTGTATTTATGTATACTTGACACTACAAATATATTGTTTTGAAAATAGGGTTTTCCATTATGATAATTGAGCATGTTGAAGTATTTGGGTAATTTAATAGGTCGAGAGATCGTATGTACACAACTCTTGACCCAGCGCATATTACACAGTGTGAAATGGTATATTTCAGAGTGACCTATTGTTTAGTACACAGTGTCATTGTATGTTACAAAGTGGCAAGTGATATTATACCAATCATTTTGTTGACTGCTGACAATTATGTCTGTGCTCACCTTGACACCATTTCCATTTTCCAATGAAAATACATGCGATGATTATCTACAAAGAATCCAGGCCAGTGGTTTGGAGTTGACCATGTGGTTGAAAAGTAATACGTTACCTTGTAACTCGACGAACAGAAAGTAAGCTCAAGGGTATTCGTAACAGTATAAATCTCAGTCATGCTCTCCTGCTGAAGGTCACCCGGCTTTTGTTCTGACCAACGAAAATAATATTGTTCGTAGATAACAATAGGAAGGACATTTGAAATCAGTGATGGGGATGGGGACAAGTTTGACTGACTGAGTTTGGTTTTACGCCGCTTTTAGCAATATTCCAGCAACATCACGGCGGGGGACACCAGAAATGGGCTTCACATATTGTGCCCATGTGGGGATTCGAACCCTGGTCTTCGGCGTGACGAGCCATGGGGACAAGAAGTTGATGGAGGGACAATAAGTAGTCCTAAACCGTTAGTAACTTTATGGGAATCGATATGTGTAATAATGTATTTCATGTTCGTTAACAGTTTTCAAAAGTTTCAGTGGCAAGTTATATAGATATAGATTGAAAGCAAAACTTGATCAGAATGTATCAAACTGTTTACTCTGTCTAAAGTGTCACAAAGTGTTGGCTCTCTCTGTAGACTCATCTGCTTCGAGTTCACCAACAGCGGCACCCTGGACGACTTCCTGCACCATCTCGACATGCCGCTGCCGGAGCCGTGTCAGAGAACTATCATCCACGACATTGCCGAGGGCCTCTCCTGTCTCCACAATCACAACATCCTCCACCACAAGCTCACTGCCGCTTCTGTCTTCCTCAGGGATCCGTACAGGTGAGGGTACTACCTACATGTTGGAATATACAGTGAAACCCTCTTATTCCAGACAGGAAGGTTTCCCCTTGAAATCGATCGGATGAATTAATGTCCGAAATAAATATTTTTGTGTAAGAAGTAATGCCACTGTAATAACGAGTAGCGTCCCTTAGTTGTAACAGTATCCGCTGTTACTTTGCCTATAATGAGGCTTAGGTTGTAAATACCACACTGTGCTCTTCTTCCGAAAAGTATGGACGACATAAGTATTTTTCCACCCAAATTTATCTGTAATATCACTAATATGCTGTGAAGAACAACTATCTCACATGGTTCTTTTTTATCTGATATTTTTGGAGGTGCAATTTAACAGTACAACAAACGAGTTTTAAAAAAATGTTTTGTAATTAAAGTTGACATTTACTTCGCCAGTTAAAGGAAATACTTTACACAATAGAGCAAAATTAATCTGAACCAAATCTTCACATACGACTGCAGTTATATAGCTGAGGCCTCAACTGCACACATTAACACACAGGACTAAACAACCAGTGCTTACACACGATCTAGTATGACAGTATTAAGGCCAGATTCTGTTCTAGAATCCGAAACCCGAGATACATGAAATTTTAATGTTGTGTTCAGATCTCTTTTTAATTTCAAAACATGCCTTCTTTTGTAAGTTTCTTCAATTGAATATTTTATTGCGAAACACGGATCACGATTAATTACACAGAACCTGAGACAGATCCCTCTTGACGGCCAACAGAACCTCAATGCAGAGAAACCCGATATCTCTAAATGTACCCCACATGTACAACGACCGGTTGTGTATGCACCAAATTAAACCTCGCACTCTACATTATCCCTGGGTCAATGGACAGGTTGAAAGCTTACAGTGCGGTCTTGTCAGAGGAGACGGTGTACACAATGGCAGTATTGTTGACGTATAGTCAGTAGATCCAACAGGGAAGATAGACCACTCTGGCATTTCTCCAGCACCAGCGGGATACCTGCATGTGGCGGGGTAGACTAACGCTTAGTCTCTGAATATATTAAATTTTGACAGAAACAAATAACCCCTTTTTAAATTGAAAAAGAGCCCCAATAGGTTGGAGGTTCAGAACCTGAGGAAATCTGAGCTTGTGTCATTTAGGGCTTTAGAATTGCAGACAGGGCTTGGCGGAATGGTAAATCATGCGGTTCAGGGATTGTGAGACGGATCTTTAAGGGAAGGGCCAAAAGGCAAGGTGGGTTAGGGCAATATTTTGAACAAGGGATCTGCATAATTTAAGACAAAATGTTTGAAATTGTTGTGAAAGTTATCAGATTTATTCAAATGAATGAGATGTAAGTTTGGAACATATTTCAACAATTTCATGTTGGGGACCAATGACAACATTATATGCACAAACAAAATGTGTCAAAACGGCCTATTTTACAAGTTTTCTCGGAGTGTTTTCCTAATATTTGAACATGAATACGTCTCTCACTCACTCTGTTCGAAGATCGCTTCGTTACAAAGTGACCTAAGGATAATCTACAGAGAATTAAACCCAGGTCACGTAAGGCCCATACAAAATGTATCAAGTTAGAATCTGTAAACGTCACAGAAATGACATCATGAACTGACACAGATGAAGGTAGTACTATTATAACTATTTTTACCTTGTTTACATTACTTAATGGCTCGCTCGTCCCGTAGAAGGCCCGGGTTCGATTCTCCACATGGGTACAATGTGTGAAGCCCATTTCTTGTGTCCCCCGTCGTGATATTGATGGAATAGTGCTAAAGGCGGCGTAAAACTAGACTCGCTCACTTAAGTGTACTGAATGATTATCTATTTCAGTCTAGAATAGTGATATGCGCAATACAAACAAAATTCATATTTTCAGTCTTTCAAGTCAAAGTTTCTCCTTGTGACTTTTATCAAAAGGCTCTTTCAGATTTAGATACTAATCATTTTACAAACATTTCTATTTACACACAATCCGAGTTGGAACAATCCCTTGTATTGTAACAGAGTTATCACTCCATCGTTAATCTTTCCTCGATTACACGTCAGTAACGCAGCGCCACCTGCCCACCCTGACCTCCACCGCCAATGTATGTATTGTCTACGCCTACAGGTAATCTTCACCGCTGAAATGTCAGAGGTCAGTACATGACAGGGATTCTCGAGCTGTGATCCATCGATCGAAGTTCAATATCAGTAGCCTTATCTGATGTATTGCCAATATAATTTTACGAATAAGCCCAAAACACAACCCTTTGTATAATTAGAGCTTTAGGAGTATTACCGGATGAAAGCGAAGTGCTGTTATCAAAATTTGATGATATTTATTACTTAGAGTTGCATTAACAAATCCCTGCTAAACTGGGGTCTGTATAATGTCAGGGTGGCAGTATGATCCTTGCACGGGTATACACCACGGTATGTAATTGGTATTGCAATGTTGTTGATAAACCTTATCGGTTATACTAAAACCCGTGGGAATTCCAGATGAAAGTAAGTCCCAAGTATCAAGACTTGTCGTGAAAGTCGACGAAAGTGTATTGGGTGGTCAGGTTCAGCGACCTTTACGTGTCACGGCGTGATTGATGTCTTGCGCTGGCTTCCTGTGGTCCAGGTATTAAACAAAAATTCACAATTTTGCATACGGAAAGCAGCATCTGTATTTTTTTTTAACCCCCAAAACCCCAATCAGTTTATTGCTACACACACTGTGTGACTCAATCTTAATAGTAATTTCCCTATAGTGCTTGTTTTGATTATATTTATTTTTTCTATTATATTTGTTTGGCTCGTTTCACCGAAGGACAGGGTTCGATTTTTTATATGGGCACAACTTGTGAAGCCCATTCGCATTGATATTGCTGGAATATTGCTATAAGTGGTGTAAAACCTTATTCACTCACTATGTGCATTTCTGCTTTTAATAGTCAGGTTTTACAGGTCATCACTATTGGCAAGAAAAAGGTATAGGTCAATGTAAAGTGATTCAACCGGATTCTCTGTATTTTGCAGTGCATGGTGCTACGGGCGGCTCTTGGGGACTTCGAGGCTGCCCAGATCTACGGCTCACTACAAGGCGGATCATCCTCCAGCTCACAGGTCAGCAAGAAACAGTTCTTCCTCCCGGACATACGGGCGTTTGCCCTCGTTGCCTTGGAGATCATTGGATTCGTGTGCAAAATGAGGCAGGATGAAAAACAGCCATTCAGAAAAACCCGAAGTGAGATCGTAGTTAGCTCCCAGAAAGGTAGCAGTTCTAAAGCCCGTGAATATGTTCAAGATATGGCACATAAATCCCGCAGCTTAGACGAACGAGCAATTCTAGAAGAAACCGGGTTTAATAATATCCCTCCATTTGGTTCTCTGATAAACGTGAAAGAAACAGATCCGCATCCCAACGTTCCAGAGGAACAAGATGCGTGGGCACAGCCTGTGACTTCAGTAAGGATTACTAGTAAACATAATGAAGTGAGACAGACTGAACATGAACCCATCAGTCGACATCCCACTGACGATGTCCGCTGGCAGAAGGAAAGTGTTCTTATATTTCTCCTAAAGGATATGCCCACACGAACCCTTCATCAGTGTTCAGGGCAGGGTCTCCTCTGCATGAACATGATTACGAGGAGATAGAAGAAATCACAGAAAAAATTCAAAGGGATCACATTGCAATTCAGCAAATCCGTTACCCGCGAAAGGATGACACTATGACAGTTGAAAGGTCCTGGAAGGATTACCCGAGCGGTGGACATTATTCAGTTCCTACAGATGTACGTAATCCTCGTTTCATTGACCAGACACAGAAATCCGCTTTGCCCAATAGGAATCCAATAGGTGGGGGAGTGTTTCACAGGTCCGACCCGCTCCGGTTCTCCGCTTCCTCTGTCAGTACCTTGGAGGACATTGAGGAGGACTTGCCGGAGATGACTGGGGAAAGCGAACATGTTTCCGCCACCTTGAAAGATCTGTGGCTCAAGAAGGAGGCAGATAAGAAAGAACGGTTACTGACGTCCTATAATGAGAGAATGAAGAAGGAGTTGAAAGATGTGTTCTCAAGGAGGATCAGAAAGAGGAAAGACCAGGGCGTGTCCAGAGAAGCAGTGCAGGAACTCTCAAGACCTTTGTCAGCACGGAGTTACCATGGTAGTGGAACAACACTTGTTGTTCCCTTTAGTGCAGGTGAAACAGAGACATATTTTGGTGATGCTAAACAGAAAAGACCACAAACTGCTCGACCCGCTCAACGGCAGATATCTGAAGGATCAGGTAAACCTGTGCCTCGACGTCCTGCACCTCCACCACCAAGGCCCGTCACAGCAACAACAACGACTCGTCCGCAAACACCAGGTCATGGAATTAAGAAAACACAGGCAAGGATGAAACTTAAAAAGGCATTGGGGCAAAAACAAGGTTCTCAGTTAACCAATGCTAGCGTAAACAATACTCGGGGTCAGGGTGCATCCATTGTTGAAATGAAGTATGCATCAGTGAAAAAGATTCCCCAAATAAAGGATTCCTTACAGGATTCAGTGGGTGAACGCCTACCACCTCCACGCCCACAAATCGTTCATCCTAAACCTCCTACAGTTGGGCATTTTTCAAGTTTCAGCAGCAATGATAGTTTAGGCAGCAGTTTCTATAAGAACTCTCCCAGGAAAGGAGACGTGTCCCTTACCAGCGGGGAGCTCACGTCTCTGTCTTCACAGGCAGACACAACTCTACCTGAGCACGATGTGGAGGAGGTCGTTGAGCTTCCTCCCACACACGAGACTAAAAGTGGACAAAAGGGTGGGAAAATTATTGATAGTGGCTTCGATAGTGCATCCATTACCAGCGAGATCTCTTGCGATGTGTCAATGGTTGATGAGAGGTCTTGTTCCTGTCCGTCTGGAAGCTACACGACGGAGACATGTAGTTGTCAGTGTTCGATCACACCAACATCAGGCATGCACACAAAGCCGCTGTATGACAGCCGGGCATCGTGGAGTAAAACTGATTCGTTTTCATCCTACGACTCTACAGACTTGGATCAAAAGCTAGAGAGGCTCCGTAATGGAGATGTGCGCCCTTCAAAGGATGTGATTGGTCCGGATGAACAGTACCCTATGTTGGCTGCTGCAGTCAAGCCTGAGAGGACAGCTCACCAAACACAGTGTAGTCCACATCAGAACAGGAAACATGTTGGTAAGGTTGTGACGAAGACCCAGCGTACAAGGAGACATGATTTCGGATCAGCGAGCAAACGCTACAAGGAACTCAGAAAGAAGGGCATTCCTCTGAGAGTGTCTGTTGTATCAAGTGCATCCTCTCAGGATGTCTCTGATGCCACAGACTGGGACTCGTATATGGAGTCTACGGCTGAGGTTATTGAAGAGGAGGACGATAGTATTGTTGATGATAATGATGATGCAATTTTCAATGCTCTTGACTCACAAGGGGTCTTTGAACCCTCAGACACTGATTCTTCCATGGGTGTGAGACCTCTGCACCACACGAAACCTGTAGCAGTGGTACATGGAACCAAGAGACCTCGCGATACAGACAATAGAACCAATGCAATGATCCTAGACGATATTATTCGAGAACTACCTGATGAAATAACCGGGGCATCATCAATGGATGATGAAACACGGTCTTTCCTACATTACTCTGAACCTAAAGCGGAATTTAAAGATGAGGATGAGGAGGAGATTGTGGACATGGCTATAGAGATTCCATATAAACCGTCCTCAGTAGTAGATGCAGAGTTAGTTATAGACAGACTGTTCACGAAGAGGAATACGCTGAAACACAAAGGAAGCCTTCAGGATGTGATGGACCCTATACTAGGGTTTGATGAGAATCTTATCAGAGAGTTAGCGAGCCCCACTAGTTCCACTGGTAAGACGGACCTCCCAGAACAGATGCTAAAAGGAGTGACAAAGACACATGTGCAGGCGTGTAGGGAACTGTCCAGTAAGGTCCCCCTGGTGCCCTTCACGGAACTGTTTCCGGCTACTAATGGTCAGTTCAGGGTACTCAGGTCAAGGCTCGAGCAGGTGGGAAACTTTGGAACAATTGGAAAACAGGTAAGTCCACTCTACATCTAAAAGAAGGCTGACCAAACAGAGACAGCTTAGCAAATATAGTACTCTTGAAACCTTTCTGTCAATATTATGTTAATTTCGCAGTCCTACGGCTAGATATCTGACTGAAGATCACACTCTGTAGCCCGTGGCGGTTAAGTGCAAAATGTACATTTTCTGGTTGTGTTTTGAAAAGTGGAACCTCTGTTCCACGAATCATGTTGTGATTTACATCCCGGGACCAGTGAAAATCCGGGTTAGAATTGATGTTCAGCAAAACCAAATGCTTGTCGTAAGAGGCGACTAGCGGGATCGGGTGGTCAGGATTGCTGACTTGATTGACCCATGTCATCGTATACCAACTAACTAGATCGATGTTCATGACGTCAGTTACTGGTATGTCTGGTGACTATTTACAGACTGGTGTTACCTAGCTGGAATACTGCTGAGTGCGGCGTTAAACAACAAACAAACAAACCTACATCTATGGAGAGCCCGAAGGTTAAAGTAATAGCTTGTCTCGACGCAGATCTGGGTTCGTTTCCATCCATTTAATCCCTGCAAATATAATATGAACTATAACTCCTATTATATACCAGAATAATGTTTGTCGTTTCAATGTTTGGTTGGTTGTTTGTTTTGGTGGGGAATGTTGCGTGTTGCTTAGTTTGTTCGCTTTTGTTGTGGTTTCGGGTATATATCAAACATAACCTTAACAATGCTTCTTTTACACGAAACCCTCTGTTTCAGCTGTTAGACTGTGTCCAGTTGTGTTGGGTGAGTGACAGTCCGCCCTCGGCGTCCGAGCTGGTCAGCAGACTACTGGACACGGTCACGGAGACTGAACTCTGAAACTCACATAGACAAATTTGCAGTTTGCCCAGCACCTGTGCTCACATCTACCAGATCATCTCAGTGCCAGTTCTATAGCAAATCTGTGTCGTCGTGGCGTTAACACTGCAGAGATGCCAACCCCAAAGTGTTGCAAATAGTAGTTTCATGGATCAAAATTAGTAGTTTGATCATAAAATTGATAGTCAACGAAATACTAAATACTTAACGATAATGAGAACGATAAATGACACTAATCAAGAGTGAAGCTTTAATTTCGCATACCTCCAACAGCAGATTTCCAAATTAGCATCATTACATTTCCTCGTGTCTCTTTTTGGTAAAAATGTATTTAATCGACGAAAATATATGTTTTTGCATATCCAAATTTTAATGATTTTTCTTCAAATTTCGTAGAATCTCTAGTGCTATCGTATTGGTGTAGTTTGAGGCTAAAATTCGTAACGACTACGATAAAATCGTAGAGGTTGGCATCTCTGACACTGGTGTTTGTGAAACGGGTCCATAATTCAGTCAGCAGATCATTGGACACGGTGACGGAAACCGTGCCCGTGAAAGTCACTGTTCAAATCTGGAATAAGATCGTCTCGGTGCCAAGGTCCGTGTGGAACGGGTCAGTGGTCAGAAGAGTAAGGAGTTTAAAGGATACCGAGACAGACACCTTGAATCTCACACTTCAACAGTCCACGTCATTGTTACCAAACTGATTTTTGTTGACGGTATATTTCTCATTTATAAATATACATAAACATGGATTTTGATCAAACATATGGAGAGTATGTAATTATAACGAGAAGTTATGTTTCACTGTCTCGCCTAAAACTGGGCCAAATCCACCATAAGTACCGTGTTAAAAACATCATTTAATGGTTGTTTCGTCTTTGGTGTGAAGTTTGATGTTGGTGTTATTCGAATGTGTGATATGTTACGGTTTCATACCGAAATACTATCGAGCAGGACAGCTATTTACTAAGGTAAAGTTAAACCAAATTTTATGTTCCATTCTCTCTTTTTATCAAGGCACCCTGGAACAAAGATACCAATCGTACCATTTTCTTTTGTGCCAAAGGGTTTCTTAACATCAGTATAAGCACTGAATCGTATAGCATTATTGAACTGAGTACGAAAGTGTCCCTTAAAACTCTCTAACCTTGTAAATTAGGTGTATTTTTCTACCAAAAACCCTGCGAACACGTTTTTGGTCTGTGACATAATCAAATTATGTCCAAACTTGTATCTGGGTCTCAAGTCAAACCCACCTATGATCAATGTGAAGATACTCTCAAATGCGCGTAACGGTTGGCGTAGCATAAATCGCGAACCTGTCGAGAATTCTGTGATACCATTCCGCTATGCACGGAGAGAGAAAAACAATAACAAAGGCACCCATCAGTTCCGACAAATTGCCGGAGATCAGTGCCCCTTAACCACTACAGTACACCTACCACAATTATGTAGTAAAAAGTGAAGAATAGGTTTTCCTGAGTTATCTGCACTTCCGCCATGTCTTTTTTAAGGACTTGTTTGTTGGTTATTATTCACTATACTTGACGTTTGTCATACGTTTACGTTTGTAGTACAACAAAAGATATATTTTGTTGTATATTCAACTAAAACAATACAGGAGATTCAATGGGTCACACATTTTGTCTGTATCTAAAGCTCAAACTACCGATTATGTGTTTGGCCATCCATTGTCCTTCTTTTAACACTATTAACACTGTAAGTATAATCACACTATGCATGAGTGCCTATATCTCAGCCTCAGACATTTTAACACTAGTGATGAGGATTAGTGGAAACTTTATTTCACAAGTCCTCAGAGTTTGTAGCTAGTGTTGTTTGTCTAAAACGAAAATGTTTACCTATTTACATTTTTGTCAGTTATATTATGTTCCAACTTGTAGCAAGATTGAAGCATTGCGAACTGGTTCAGGATTACTGCCTCACCAATTCATGAGGACTACCATCATTGGATTTTCCCTTGTCCTCGACACAATACAGTCATCTCTTGTTGGCGGACCAGCATGAATTTCATAGGCTGTATTGTATATTTTGTAATATTGATATTTTCTGTACCGTCCAAATCTACCCTGTGGTATTATTGTCAGATATGTGATTTATATATATGTACTATATTTACATGTATAACCGTTATTAAACTATAGCATCCATCAGCCATCAATGTTTCAGTAGTCTCAGGAATATCTTCAAGAATCATGCTTGTTAACAATGTTGACCTCTACCCCCATATAAACCTGACCTATGCTGTAGAAGATCTTGCCTGTAGACAGAGGCGAGTCACAATACCTCACTCAATACCAGTATATCAATATATACTTCATATTTATAAATGTAAAAGAATTGCGCTTATGGGTTCACTCATAAAGCAAGTACGTACAGCATCTTGGTTTATAGTATTCCCAGAAATTATTGAGAAAGTTGTTTGGGCAAATATCTGATACATGTATATAAACTATAGACGTTTTACTTAAATGAATATGTTGAGATATGATTCTCTTACAGTCTAAGTGTCTTTTCAGTACTTTGTGAGACCTTAATTCTTGCCCTGCAATACACGAATGAATGCGCCTAGGTATACTACCGATCAAAGTTTGTAGGAAATCGTGTGATAGCGTATCTCAATATTCGACCACTTCTTTCTTCATGTGCTCTATATTTCTAAGTCCTTTTGGGGTTTTCTGTCCTTCATTAGTCCCCACACATTCTAAATAGGGCTAAGATCTCGGCTGTAGCTGGGCCAGTCTAAAACTTGAACATTTTCGTCCAACAACCACTGTTTTATGTAGCCCGCAGTGTGTTTTGGGTCGTTATCATGCTCGAAAATACAATAATCTTCATACAGTGATCGGGCCGTTGGAAGGAGGTGACCATTTATCATGTCGTCAAATTTTCAGTGAAAACACACAACAGCCACCCTATGTTTTGGGAGTTGGTAGAGAGGTTCTACGGTATCTTTTGTCCAAATTTTCACATTTCAAATTTCACAAGTTCGGGAAAAGCCAGACAGAACTTTCATCAAAAAAAAACATTATTCCAATCTAGATTTTCGTGAGCCCTACACCAGTTTTAAACGTCTTTCTTTTTGTGAATCTTTCATCAATGGTGAGGGAAATCTGCGCTTTTTCACCCAGTTAAGTCTTTGTAATTCTTGTCTAAGGGTTTAATTACATACCTGAGGACTTCCTCTATTAATCATCTCATTTCCGATATTCTCAACGCTCGTCAATTTTCCCTACTCTCAATCTGACCAAGTCGCCGGCGATCCGTAGTACTGAACTTCCTTGGCCTCCCTACCCCTGTCTTGTGCTCAATCCCAACTCCTGACTGAATATGCTTCAAAGTTCTGTATACTGTAGACAGAGGAATGTCATGTCTACCAGCAAACTCTTTTGCATTAGTCACACCCCTTTCAAAATCATCTAAAACCAGCTTTCTTTTCTCTTCTGATGTCAAATCTGCCATGTCAACAATGGAGCCGTCTGCTACACCAGGGGAGATAACTCTTGATGTCGTAAGGTTCATTCTCAAGCCTACAAGAGTTGCCTCCGATATTGAGTACCTTACTACATAAATGTAACACCTAGTTTAAAATTATATTATCAGTATTAGGAAACAAAGATGTTCTCAATTTCTGGGAAAACTATCTGGTGTATAAACATAGACTCATATTGTGACTTTGTGCTTCTTTGCCAGCTGAAATGTATGGATTTAAGCACTGTGGACGTCAACCACTTTGTGACATCTGTATATGATGAAGAACCATAAACCATTGATTAAAACCATGTCACCAAGTCACCAACTCAACCCAAGCCATGAATTTGCCTCTATTAACAAGCACCAAAGTGCCTGGGATCTATAATAATTCTGACCTGGGTACTCACAGGCTTCATTGTTTGTGGGCAAATAACAAATCACTTGTCGAATCAACCAGCCCTGAAAATGGATAATGCCAGAGCATCAGGTTTTTACGTGACAGCAATCAGTGACACCTCAAGGGAGTCAAGCTACACTGGGCAGGATGGTCACCAAGGTGTCAAGGCCTGGGCACCAGTCGGGATGTAGCGAGTGAGTTTAGTTTCAAGCCGCACTCAGCAGTGTTCCAGCTATATAGCAGCGGTCTGTAAATAATCGAGTATGGAAGAGACATTCCAGAGATCACCAGCATGAGCATTGATCTACACAATTGGAATACGATGACATGTGTCAACCAAGTCAGCAAGCCTGACCACTCGATCCTGTTAGTCGCCTCTTACGACAAGCATGGGTGGCTGAAGATAAATTCTAACCCGGATCTTCACGTGTCAGGCTGAATATAACCATCTTTGGTGCAGATGTAGGTGGTCGAAGGAAACACGTAATTACTAAAACTAATTCACCTGAAATACATTAAAATACAGAAAAGAAACAACAAAACACAAAAGCAGACTGAACTGATTGAAGATAGTTTACTGTCCACTCTCACACTCCACTCTTTAACTATGTACAATCCACACAGTGCACAGATTCTATGTCTGTAATTAAAATGGTTATGATTAACACAACTGACAAACCTACATAACAAGATATCAACCAAGTTGCCAGACACATACAGACCACAGTAGTTGCCGACAGCATTGATTATTGCTTGTATGTACAAAAACAAAAAATCACTTCCTGTCTTCAGCAATGGAAATTAATACAAGTACACATCACAAGTCCATTTACCACAGGGATAATGAAATGAAGAAAGCCATTAGCATCGTTTGCTATTTGGGATTTCAGAAATATCAAAATATCAGAGCACTTGATAATATTCAAAGCATGTAAACAACCAGGAGAAAAAGTCATTTTCAAAGTTTTAACGTGAAGCAAAAGTAAGTAGGAGTCTTAACAAAATGTGACGGTTTAGTGTTAATATCCACTGCTCGACTGCAATAAACAAGGCCTGGCCATCATCATCATCATCATCATCTCCAACAAAGGGGCAGCACTATTCAGCATTACAATAAACAAATAATTGATAGACATCAGAGACATGATGCCTTTAGGATTTTCTGTTCATGAATATAACCTGATTCTAATACATGTACGAGAGCAAGGTTAATGAAACACCTTATTTGGTTCAGAAGGTACAAACGAGGTTGATTAATGAAAACATGAGAATTAATCTTTCTTATCCTTCCTGTAGGTAAGTCAGGATTGTGGATACCGAAGAACACAATCACGATGGACCAGTTCTGGCACGACCTCCATAACAGATACTGTATTCACCGATTCCATGGACAATGTTAGTAATGATAAGAAATAGCATGCAGCAGGATACCAGACAAAGGTTCAAGTGATTGTTAGCGCTTGTGACAAGAATCATGATACCATATCACCAGTTCACATCATTGATCCATGCCTTGTAAGATAATATACAGATCAGTGCACTCAGTCTTAAAAGTCTTAAGTCACATGTCTTAAAAACATTCAGTCAAAAAACGTATAAAATATTCTCAAAAACTGAACTGACTACTTTAAAAGCATTAATGTGACAAAATACTAAAATAAATAAACACAAGATGACATGATCAAAATGCTTACAAACAAAATGGTTGTGTTTTAAAGAGATCAAATGAAAAGTTGATCAAAGTTCATGAACACAGAAACAGTTCCAGTCAATATTGATAGACTTCTCTAGAATCCATCTGTCATTTATACATAGAAAACTGACAGAAAAGAAGACACATGAAGTCAGTCCTGTGGAGGTCCTGGTAATGAAGATATATAACATGGCACCCTATTACTTACTAGGTTAATGGACATAAGAAAGAAAGACCCCTACTGAGAATGTTATGTTGAGACTGTATTTGAGGGAGTGAGCCAAATCTACACCACTTTCAGCATTATTCCAGCTATATAAGGACACAGAAGCACAAGAAATGTGTTTCACACATTGGAAATGAAGGAAGGCTTTCTGCCACTTTAGCAACTAGAGGATCCCACCACCCCTATGTATAGAGAGTGAGTGAGATTAATTATATGCCGCTTTTAGCAATATTCCATGAACATCACGCTGGGAGACACCAGAAATGGGCTTCACACATTGTACCCATGTGGGAATCGAACCTGGGTCTTCAGCTAGACGAGCAAATGCTTTAACCCTATGTATTAGGGGTGTCACGATACACCAATCTCACGATACGATACGTATCACGATTTTAAGATCACGATACGATGATTGCTCGCTGATTGGTCCATCAAAATAGTCTAGCCAATCACAAAAGCTGTTAGTTTCCAACCCATTTTTTAAGTAAGCTAGCTACATCTATTTATCGGACTATCAAGACTTTGAAGGAGATGGATATAGCATAAAAATTTGAATCGATAAAGTTTTAAAATAGGAATCGATACACGCAAGCATGTATCGCGTATCGTACCGTAAAAAAAAAATGTATTGATGCATCGCGCGTATCGCGACACCCCTACTATGTATATATAAGTATAAGCAGTGTGTGAAATAGCTGTTTATGTGCCTTTAACCTGGTGGTTATGTGGATCAGCTAGCTGAACAGGACACAAGGACTTTCACAAGTTATCCATCTTATTATGAAGCCTTTCTCTCTCTGTGTATAACTCACCCCTCAAACTTGACCAGGATAACTTCGATCAAAAAGATCACCCAATATCACAATTAAATATCACTTGAATTAAACATGATTCAGCGGATGGCTACCACAGACACTAACAGGTAACACAACAGATCAGATATATTCTGTCTATCCCTGTCTTACTATTAGTTATAAATCAAACACTCAACAGGTGTCTGTCATCATATTTTCCTATATGTGTGCTTTAATTCAAAGATCTGTATTATATAAATTAGAAACTGTCTTAATATCACTAATTAACATTTCCACCATTCTTTGCTTTCAAAGATGTCAAAGAATGTTGATTAAATGCCAACGAGGGAGCAAATTCATGCACTTTTGAGTATAAGTCACTCATAACCTCAAGGTCTATACTAGTGAGTGAGTTTAGTTTTACCCCACACTCAGCAATATTCCAGCTATATGGCTGCGGTCTGTAAATAATTAAGTCTGGACCAGACAATCCAGTGATCGACAGCACGAGCATCGATCTACACAATTGGGATACAATGACGTGTCAACCAAGTCAGCGAACCTGACCACT